TACATGATTTGCTTATTTTACACTATTATTTATTATCCAATATAAGATTAAACAAATTAAAAAAATATAATTAGAATTAACAAAAGAAATGTACATTTAAAATAGATATTTTTGGAGGGCCCAAGACTTCACATTTTCAATTATAGAGAAAAATAATTAGTTTTATAGAAGAACATAAAAAGGAAGAGAAGTTACAATATATTTGGTAATATCATGAATTTTGTGTGAATAAAAGTTCGAAGCTTAACTCATTTGGCTAATCCATATTTTACCCATATTACCATATTTTACCCATATTTTTATGGGTTGAATATGTGTATCAACCCATATTTTACTCATGTAAAAAGTCACTCACCCAACCCATTAAATATGGACGGGTTACCAAAATATGGGCTCATTTTGCCGGCACTAATTCAGATTAATGAAACCCCAAATACACACAATGATGAAAAAACAAAATTAACAAAAAACATAATAAATTTTCCTACTCCTACTTGCTAAATTTTCAAAGATTCTGCAGCCCTTTACCCCTACTCATGTTACAGGCATAACGGACATGCTATATCTTGTTAAAGGGTTAAGTCAAAAAATAGAATACTTCAACCACGATCCTCCCATGCTATTTTATAATATAGCAGTTGGGCATATATTACAGCAACAATCAAGGCAATATATATATATATATATATATAAAGTTATGTGTATGTATATATACTATAGGTCAAATGTAATTTGGTGCACAAAACTTGATGACTTATTTTTGGGCACAGTAAATTGTACTGTGGAGTATCCAAAATTTTAGAGCAAATTGCGCCAATTCCTGCGGTTGTTCATACACATTTGGGCCTTTATTTCTTTTGACTCAGCAATATTCGAAAAGAAAAAGTAAAACATGCGTATCTTCTTTCTATATATAGAAGACTTTATTGTACACATCAATTGTTGCATAATTTCAGTTCCTAAGGTCTTGCTTTTCTGTGCCGCCGTTGAGATTAGTTATATTATAACTACATGGAAATGAATAAATGTGATTGGAATTTAGTGGACGGTTTTATGGTCGTTGGTCTACCACTTTGACGGTCTGTCAAACTTTTTTCATTTTTCATTCGGTGTTTGATCATACCGTGAATAATTCACATTCTTATGTAGCATAAGATCTTTGAAAGGAATATTGATTCTTATCAAGATTTTTTTAAGAAGTTCGAATCCAAAACCTTTTTTGAACTACTTTGGTTATCTTTCCTTCACTTCATCTATTGTATTTTATATTTTGAATTTTGAGTAGGGCCAAACGAATTGGTCAATTTTATTTTATTTTTTTGTATATTTTTTAGTTTCAATGATTTCTCCAGGATTTAATGGGATAAGTTTCAAGTAATATAAGGCGCATGCATGAGGGAGACACATACACAAAGCTCCATGCTTAAATTACGCCCAAACTAGTGCGGCCTTCCTTGTCATGATTTCTTGCCAAAGATAAAAATGCAGTATTTATATACTAATTATAATA